GCCTACCTGCAGCGCTGGGAGTGCGCGCTGGCGCACCTGGCGCGCTGCCCCGACCGCTTCGACGCGGAATTCCTGCCCCTGGCGCGGGAGCGCGCCCTCTACGGGCCCGCGCTTGCGCTCTTTCCGCCCGGGGACGCGCGCTACGCCAAGGTGCGCACAGGGCTCGACGGGAGAGGAGTGAATGGAGGGAGAGAGTGAGAGTGAAAGAGGGAGTGAATGGAGGTAGCGAGTGAGAGCGAATGGAGGGAGAGAGGGAGTGAGTGAATGGAGGGGAATTGAGCTGAGAAAGACCTTCAAGGGTGTGAAAATGTGAAATCCAGATAATTGTAATATTTCATTTTGTTCAAAATTTGTTTTGTTTCATTGCATTTAACAAGTCCAACTAATTTCTGGTTGTATATTGCTGTACTGAAGAATGCAGAGAGGGGAGGTTGAAATAAGGATTTGAGAGGGAATTTTTGGGACATAAAAGTATGAAAAAATGTGAAGAGTGAAAAAATGTCAAAGGAAATGCGTGTTAAAGTCAGTATATTAAAATATAATTGATATAGTCACAAATCGATAATGGGAGTTTACAAAACAAATATAAGAAACCCTTGGATTGGGAATTAGGAAAAAAAAAAGGTGGAGCAAAATTTTGGGCAGACAGTGGGAACTCAGAAGACAATTTGATTAAAATGGTTGTATTGAGGGAGAAAATAAAAAAGGGTAAGGAAAGAGAGACAGAAGGAAAGGAAAATTATGTTTATGACATTAGGAAAGGGAGTAAAATTATTAAAGGGAAAGAAATAACACAAACTAAAGTAAGAAGAGAAAGTTGAAAGGATGGGAAAGGAGGAACAAAATGGAATGTTTGATATAAGGAGAACCAAAGAGGATTTATTTTTGACTTTCAATATTTGAGAAACAAATTGTGAGACGAGTATTAGATTCTTCAGTAGAATTGTCAGATTCTCTGCAGTTTCATAGAATTTATTGTAGATGCTATCACAGAAAATAACCTAACCTCATAACATCTTGTCCACCAGGTGGCAGCTGTGTATGGTGAATACTTGCTGAAGGAGAGAAAGTTGGAAGAGGCTATAGTCATGTTTCGTCGAGCAGAACGCTGGGAGGATGCACTTGAGGCGAGCTGCCTGGCTGGGGACTGGCAACAAGTAAGTCAAATTGAAAAAGACGTGATAAATATTAGATTGTTAGCATTGGAAATGAAAGTTAGTTTATTTAATTGTTGATTTATTTAGTACGGACTCTCCAAATCCGATTTATGTGCAAAGTAACAAAAAATATTAAGATAATGAACTTCAGTTAATTCTACAACTATTTATAAACATATAAAACAAGAGGACACTAACAAAATTTAAATTAAACATTAAACCTTTCATGTTTTGGAAGTCATAGTCGAAACTCATAAATGTTGGCGTAACAATAAACTGCGAATAATAATAAAAATAATAATAAAAAATAAAGTATCACACTTTTCTACAATATGTAATTAAATTTGCCAACATATTCCTGGCATCTACTGAGAATTTGCTGGGCAATCCAGGGCGATATTTTAACTGGACTGGTACAGAGAGAATATTAAACGAACAGTGTTGTATTAAATGAAACATTACATGAAAATGAATGCAAAGAGTTTGTTACACGCTGTGGGTTCAAGGAGGCCGGGCGGAATCAGTTTGACACCCAGCAAAAACTAGTGTGCATTTTGAACTGTTAAAGAAATAGGACATCAACAAGTGTAGGGAAGATAAAAAATCTGGTGGCACAGAGGGAATTGGTCTTATGTGGTGTCTGATGAAAGACTAAGAACAATGCAAATTCATTGTGCAAAACTTTCAGAGGGGTCTAAAAACCCACTAATATTAACAATTCTCAGAAGGCCTCTTTAAATTTCTTATATTCAGAATCAACTTATTTTTGGGTAAATACCATATGTGGCATGATAAAAAGAAGTGAAATTCGAAACATTAATGTCTTGAGTCGCAATAAAAAATGAAAGATAAGGAATGATTACAGGATGTTTCAATGGGATGATCACTAGCACACTTACAAACTATCTTTCATCTAAATTACAGAACTCTTTGTGGTGCAGTGCCCTTTTAACCACCCCACTTGTCTGCGGGTTTGATGGTTTCCCACACTTAGCATAGTCCTTGGGCTCAGCAACAGGAACAGCTGATATCAGCAATAGATTGACTGCGATCCATTGACTCGTACAGTGACTGCAGGTAGCAGGGGTACAGATGGAATTAGTGACTGTGCATGATTAAGATGCAAACTTAAGTTCACAAATACTTATTTATTTCTGCAATATTAAGTTCAGGGCAAACTACTTGGCACCCACATTTGTAGTGCTCTCTTGGTCCTAACTAATTTGAGTCTACTCTTGTGGCAAAGCACTAGACTCATAGGCTGGCTTATTACCAGCTGGATGATGGCAACACGAGCTATTGAATGTGAGAATATAAATGCAGATTTGACCTCCTTAAATCACAGTCATGACTGTTTCTGGCAACTATTTTCAGCAAGATTAGGGTGAACATTACATGTTAGATAATGTTTTTTCAGGCCCTGGTGCTCCTGGCCAAGTTGCAATATGTCCCAGAGAAAAGATTGGAGAGCCTTCGCGCTGTGTCTTCAGTGTTGTTGCAGCAGAGACGCTTCCAGGAGGCTGCGCTAGTCTTGTTCCGGCACTGCTCTTGTGTGGAGGAGGCCTTGAGTGCCTTGTGCCAAGGGAGATGCTGGGCAGAAGCACAGCAGGTGGCTGTGGAAGCAATGCGCCCTGACTTACTTGGTAAATGGCTCCTTGATGCACAAAGAATGTTTAACATAAGTTATTAAGAGGTGGTTGTATTGAGAGGCTGAAATACAATTCTTTACCTATTGTAGTTGGCTCTCTGTTGTTAGCGAGTATTTCAAATTGAAGAGTCATTAGTAGCCCAAGCTTTAATAATACATGACACAAAAAGAACTGATAGAACTGATACTTCCCTGGATTTGGCATAGATGGAATAAAATTAGTGTTGTAATAATTGTAAATTTGTTCAAATCTTTGTATTGTCCACAATAACCGATTAGTATGAATGTAACTAAGTTTATTGTTTCAAGAGCAGACAATAACTTTAAATGAAATTTATAGAGAAAAAGACTAAGTGAATTTAATGAGATTATGGGAATTAGAAATCAATCATTTTTGCATGGATCATGATGATTTGGAAGATTTGAATAAAGTATTGGGATATTATATTAAGTTCATTTAGTTTTAGATATCCCAATTGTAGCAGACTAGAACAAATACTTGTTAATCATAACTGAGGGCTTTAATTACCCAATTACTTCAAAATTGTAATTTAAATCAATAACACCTAGCCCAGGTCAGTATTGAATAATTCTGACCTTCCCTGATCACTGTCTATTACTTCTAGGGCTTGGTGGGACAAAAACATATACAAGAAATAGCCGTCTCATCTTGTTTTGCATTTGCGCAGTCAGAAGAAGTGCAAGAGAGGTGGAAAATTTTAATTTTGAAGTGTAAAAACATAGTCCATTTTTTGTTGTGAACATCAAAGACCTTAGTAATGATCGATCTAAAGGGCAGTAAATGGTAATCAAGGAAACTGTTGTTTGAAATAAAAGGAGAAATTTAGAAGTGCAGTTTTTCAGGATCATATTTCTAAAAAAGTGTTCACAATGTTGTTTGAATCAGACATTTTCTCTTTCTTGAACAAACTACATTTATTAAATTTATTAGTTTCTGTACAATCATTGAATTTTATGAAATATTTGTTGTTATTGTGTTGCAGAACAGGTGAAGCAGGGCATTGAGGACCACTTTGAACAAATGCAATCTGAAGTTGCTAACCACAGGACTACTTACGAGGCCCATCTCAAGCGCCTGAGAATCGTTAGGACAGAGAAGCTCAACCAGCCAGAAGGTAAATTGGACAGGGTGCAGTGTGTTTGTTTTTTGGTTGAGCTGCTCTGTTGTAAACGGGTTCAGACATTTAGTTCACTGGTATTCGTATCAGATAAACAAAGGTGTAGGACATATAATTGGATTCCGTGGGGGCATTCCATGCATAATGCAGCAAAACTTGTTGGGATGATATTGAATTTCTAAATTATCTAATACAAAGTTTTTAAATGCAAGCTGAATCTGTTTACACTAAAGGGATGTTGACCCTGACGGGGCAGGCACTAAATGTGCAATATTCTTGCTTGACGTGGATGCACTCTTAACAAATACCCTTTTGCGGGCCACAGTAAATGGCACCATGGTGTCACACTGGCTACATGGTGTCACAGGGGCTGCCAGTTGGACAACCCTGTTCTGTATATAAATAAGGAGAATGTGCGTATATGTCGCACATAGATGCAAAAACTACTTTACTAATGAAATTTTCGTACTTTGTTCTTGCTAGTAATAGAAGTGATTAAACATTGATTTGAGTTAAATCTGACAAGCAGAGGTGTTGTTGATGATTTATTTGTTTATGACGACTCAAGTGCCTAAGAACATTATGCAACCCACTGTGTAGTAAAGGATTAAGTTTGTCTTCACTGTGTGCAAATGTTGCCCTTCACTGCATGCTGCCCTTGCGATTGTGAAAAATCATTTGGAATTGTTAATTGAATCCTGGTCAAGTTAATCTAATTTCTCCAAGATAGTGTCATAGCAAACCCATGCACAAATTTGAGGAAGAAACAGTAGGATATTTCACAACCATGTCCAAACCTGGATATACAATATACCCATACTTGCGAAAATATATTTCGTCTATTAGAATGTTTGCACTGTGTAGCATAAAACGTGATTAGCAATCACGTGACCAGTAGCATGTGATGTGTAATACTCTGCAATAGTGAAGCATTGAAGGGTCCACCAGTTGCAAATAATGAATAAAATATTTATAATGTGCAACAGAAGATCAGGGTGTGTGTAGGTATTGGCAGTTTTTGTTAAAGGAGTGATATGCTGTAAAGTACATGATAAAGGAAAAGTGGACTCTTAAAAGAAAACTTCTTGATAATGCAGAATATTTCTGATGCATCCAAGATTCCAAAGCTGGTGTGTGTGTGTGTGTGTGTGTGTGTGTGTGTTTTTCTTTTTCTTCTTCTTGGAGCTGTCTTAGTTCTTGGCATCCAGAGGCTTGCAATATCTCAGGTTGTTGTGATGAGAACGCCTTGTTATGTGCAATGTTGCAGAGAAGGATGGAGAGGTTGGCCCAGAGAGCGACCTATTCTCTGATACCAGCAGCACGTCTGGTTCAGGCTCCGGCTCCTTCCAGTCGGGCCGCTCTGGCTCACGCTCAGGGTAAGTATAAGGGATGGGAACACGCCAGCCTCTAATAGCCAAAATTAACTTCACTGCACCCTGGGCTCTCGTTGCCATTGCCCCTGTGAACACAGGTTCACATAGCAGCTGAGAACGGTTTTAGAAGAAAATTCGCCCCATCAGAAGTCATAAATACATCCTGGAGAGGAGCACAATGTTTTAACAATCCCAGCTAAATCAAAATTCAGATGTTTCAAAACTAGCATGTATGCTATGTGATCAAAAGTATCCGGACATGTGGCTGAAAATGACTTAGCAGTTCATGGCGCGCTCAATATGTATTGCTGGAGTTTAATAGGGTGTTGGCCCACCCTTAGCCTTGATGACAGCTCCTACTCTCGCAGGCATACTTTCAATCAGGTTTCTTAGGGAATGGCAGCCCATTCTTTACAGAGCTGCACCGAGAAGAGGTAGGTTGGTGAGGCCTGGCACTAAGTCGGCATTCCAAAACATCGCAAAAGTGTTTGATAGGCACATAGGACTCTGTGTAGGCCAGTTTCAGGGATGTTATTGTCATGTAACCACTCTGCCACACGCCGTGCAGCATGAACAGGTGCTGGGTGATCTGGGCTGTCCGGGTGACGCCGCGTCGAAGGCTGAGTTGCCGACGTTTCGACCATCCTGTCGTGGTCTTCCTCAGGGCTGGTATGCTACCTGAGGAAGACCACGACAGGATGGTCGAAACGTCGGCAACTCAGCCTTCGACGCGGCGTTACCCGGACAACCCAGATCACCCACATGACTCTGGTCGCGGAAGCCTACGACTTCATATGAACAGGTGCTGGATTGTGTTGAAAGATGCAATCACCATTCTGAAATTGCTCTTCAACAGTGGGAAGCAAGAAGGTGTTTAAAACATCAACGTATGCCTGTGCCATGATAGTGCCACACAAAACAAGGAGTGTAATCCTCCATGAAAAACATGACCACACCATAACACTATTTTAGACGTGACTAGATACTTTTTATCACATATATTATGACTTTTTGTTGAAGATAAAATGTTACATTATAATTTTAGTATGTATCATTTTTTTATGTTACATCATCACCACGTGTATTTTTAGATCAACCATTACCTGATAATGGTGGTTTACTTACAGGTGATTTACTAGAGCACCAATGTTTTCCTATCTCTGTTGTGTAGAAGGAGCACCCGTTCTGGCAAGAATCGTCGGAAGCAGGAGCGCAAGCTGCTTAGTCTCAAGGAAGGCGCTCCTTACGAATACCTAGCACTTCTTCGTGCCATGCACCAAATCACCACAGCATGCTTTGCTCTCAGAAGTAAGTGACCATCAGTGGCCATTTTATTTTTTAAATTCATTTACTTATTTAAACGGGATAAGCTTCACTTAATTTTCATATTGCACAATTTTTTATGCTATAATTTGTGCTTTGAGGGTCTTCATCACATTTACTTCATTTTGCAGGAGAGCAAATCAAAGATAGTATAATTCGATATGTAAGTAAATAGACATGATGTTGATTTGACTGCTTTTATAGCTATCAACTTACCTAGAAATGTTATGAGCGGTATTACTTTCAGAGATTAAAAGTTAAAAATCGAGACGGAGCATAGCAGACTGAAATTTTTAATTTGGATGACTCAGTAATAGCATTGTAACGTTTTGTGGTATGTTCAGCATTTTATCGGTCACCATAAAATCTAAGGATTTATGCTAAAATTTCGATGTTACTGCGGTAGTAAAACAAATTAATATTGTTGCTGGGGTATGTTACTACAATATTGTGAGGTGTGGCTTGCAATATATCTATTTATACAATATTCATATACCGTGGGTTGTGAAAAGATAGATGCTTATAATTCTCCTGAACGTAAAGATACCTAAAGAAATGACGTTCAGTGAGGAAGTTGGCGCATCAACTTCCAGTGATAACACGCTCAGATTGTCAGTGAATATGATTACGAGAGAAGAGTTTCATTTGGTGGAATGCCAGGAAAATGAAGTTAATTTACCCATCATACATTTTTTAATTATACTATTAATGGTACTTTTGAAAATAATTTTCCCAAAACTAATATGAGTTACTTTTATTCTGAATTGTTTGAATATGATTTGTTTTATATATTGTCATGTTTTGTTTCTTTATAAATATTTAACTTGGGATGAGTCAATGGTTTTTTTTAAACGTTGCTAAGGATGTTAAATTTCTTAACATAAGGTAGCTATTAATCCAACAAGTTTTCTTGAACAATGACCTTGCTTCCCCCTCTCTGGCACAATAAATAGTCGAAGGCAAAAGCTGGCAGCAAGCACTGATGACAATATTCCAAACACATTTTTACTGTCACGAAATAGAAACTATTTTCTGCTGAAGGCGAGAACTTCTGATTTTCTCCAAAAAATCTAAAGAAATGACTGAAACAGTTGAAGATCCATTACAGGAGATACTTCGAACTTCCGAGAAAGTTTCAACACAAATTGAGAAAGTTGCGAAGGCATGACTGGTTCTCTGGAGATTGGCATTACTTCTTAAAATCTAGTGATCGATTTTGGCACTAATACTCCCATTCTACCTGCATTTCTTCAATCCATTGTTCAAGAAAAGTTGTGCGGGTAATACAAGTGCATCTTTAACCTGCAGAGTTACATGTTAGTAGGAGTTAAAAAAGCATGTGACCGATAAATTTAGTTATTAATGCATTTTGAGCATTGTTCTCCACATCTTCAGGGAGAGCAATGATGTTAGTGATTGTGTTGGGACTTCAGTACCTCTTGGGTGCAGAATTGAAGTAAACATGATTTTACAGGTCTCGTATTTCATATTCAATCTCATGATATCATTTTGTTTTTTCAAAACTCATTCTATTTATTAAAGTCAATGTGAAGAGGCAGTCACAAATTGTGCTGAGAATGTATAGAAGTCTGTTAAAAGAGTGTATTTTCATTAATAAGTTGGGTATATGTGTTTTGAGAAAATAGGTTTCACAATAAATAACTTTTCTTCCCTATTACTTTTACAGAATACTCTATTTTGAATTTCAATATAATACAATATTTTAGAACTGAAGCTAAGGATTTAAAATATTGTACTGAAGTGTGCAAAATAAAAAAAAAAATGACAAATTAATATTACAATTACATGCCCTTTTTGGGGAGATGATAGTCAGCCAATTTCCTATGTACCTTTTTTAAATAGACGGGTGAATTACTTCAGCTGTGTTTTAAATCTGATTTGCTAACGTAATAACGTATTTGTCAGAATATAAGACACCCCCCTAATTTTAAAGAGGCTTCATGATAATTTTTACTTTCTTGCACTTACTTTGTGAGAAGAGAAAATTCTGTAATTGTACTCCGGAAAACAGCAAATTTTTGGATAAAAAAAGTATTATGGGGCTCTGGTATATGAGGGACGTTCAAAAAGTTCTTGAAATGGTGGTTCAGTATGTGAATGTTAAAACCTATGGCAAAAGTAACTTAATCGCCTTCGAAGTAGGATGTTTGCGTACCCTTACACTTGCTTCACCATTCCTACCGTTGCTGCAAGGAGCGGTAAAGGGGTTCTTTCGGCACTTGTCGGAGCTGAATTGCACTCGATTTCATGTTCTCCACGGTTGCAAATTTGTTCACTTTCAGGCTCATTTTGAGGTTATGAAACAGCCAGTAGTCTCTGGGAGCGAGATCCAAAGAGTATGGTGGTCGAGAAATGACAGGAATGTTCTCAGCGAGGAATTTCTGGCCAACAAGCGATGGGTGGCTGGGCGTGTTACTGTGATGCAGGCATCACTCTACCCATCTCGTCCTTCAAACTGCATCACACAAACTCTAAAAAAACTTGCCCTCAGACATTTTCAGTATCAGATTGTCCAGGCCATGATAGAGCCAATAGCATCTCTGAAGCCGATTTTTCCCAGTTTGCAAACGAACTTGATGGTCGCATACTGTTCGAACTGCATTTCGTCGGCGGAATATCGCTCATCTCCACGTGACACCACAACACACTGAAAAATGTCCAGACCAATTTTGTCCGCCTGCGAACATTCCTAGCCACCAGAGGAATGCGAATGCTGTCTTATTGCTAGTCTGGCGGCGGTTAGGCCATTCCAGGAACTTTTTGAATGCCCTTCACATATAGTAAATGGATCACTCTGTGACCCAAGCTCTAGCTGTGAGACTGGTTTCATTTACAGATCAATGCTTTGAAGAATATGTTGCAGATCTGTATAAAAAGTTTGTTGTTAAATTTTATATCACATCTAGGGGAACCTAGTGTGTTTTAAGGGTAAAACAACCTATTTTTGGTACTTGATATTGCAGAAGAAGTACGTGCCTTGTGCCTGGCTTTGCTTTCTGTGCAATGTGACGTGGACGCTGTTGCCCTTCAGAGTTCGTTGTCAAGTGCCCTACAGTTGATGGAGGACTCCAGGCCGGAGGTGTGGCCTCCGGAATTGACCTCCCCCAACGCCCTTACAGCTGTGGATGAGGTATGGTCCAGGAAAGAGATTTGAGGCACTAGAGTTTTAGACGGATGCCGAAGTATTTGTTTTCTTTGGCTGTTGTGCCCTTCCTAGAAGCTGAGAAGTGACATTTTCAGTAAAGAATGTCTCTTTGTTGTAAAGAGTATTAAATTTAATCAATTTTGTGGAAGGAGAGTATGACGATTGAAACTTGGGGTGTCCAAGGTTTAATCTGTAGTAGTTTCTTATGGCAGTGGTGATGCTAATGTGTCACTCTTCCCCTTCACATATATTCTTTGAAATTGTCGAAGGTAATGACAAAAAAAATACTTGTTCAAGAGAATGCATAAAAAAGGTATTTGAAGCAAAAAGGCACAGGAGAACAATTGAAGTACTTTCCAAAACCAGAGCAACATATTACCAGAAACACATGGACACAGGGTTGGGACTAAGAATTGCTAAGTTTGTCCCCTTCGTAGAAAAATAAATTACTTCTTAGTAAATTAACAATATTTTGCAGAAAATGTGTTGTGTGTTTGATAAATATGAGTAACATTTTCTTACCATTTCTTATGTAAAAACAAGTGCATTTCCTGATTACTAGTCAAAATAGAAGGGGTTGGGAAAAGTTCGGTCAGATTGCACAAAGATGTCCCGACTAGCAAAAAAGAGATCTTGGAAAAGGAATGTCAGCCTACATACCTTTAGTTGTCCTACAGTTAGTCTATTTTTTTCTATTGAGCACACTATTCCTTTTAGTCTAATGTTTTCAGTGAAGTTGCTTCTTCAGATGAGTGAATAAATTTTCTGACCATATTGTAGTTTTTTCAATGTCTACAAAACCTAGAATTTGTGTATCTGCTTTACAAGCTACATCCTAGTCATACCCAAACTAAATCACAGTGATAGTAAGTTTGTATTTCATGAATGTAGGTGACCGCCATTTCTCTTGTGGCTTTGTGAAATTCTGAACTTATAAATCTATTCGTTTGCAGCAATATGGGCCTGATTCTACTGTCAACAGCATAGTGTCTGGTGCTCGGAAGGCCAAAGTTCCTTTGGAGAATTGTGAATTACTAGGTAAGAAGTCTGTGTAAAATGTGAAGTAGGAAATGTTCGACTGTTACATTTAATTCTTTTAAACTGAAATCTTGTGTAATATGAGAAGTTCTGGTGATAAGTTGTGGATTACTTGCAGACAAGTCATATCTTTATCAATGGAATATTCTTCAGAAAATAATTCACTTCCATTTTGCTTACAAAGGGTGCTTTGTGATAAATCAATCATCAGAATTTTTTACTAATTTTTATTTTATTTAATGATATAACAGGCTAAATAGCTCATGTATGGAAACTTACAATCATTGACAAATATTCTAAAAGACCTGGTATTAAACACATTAATTATGCCATTAATAAATGTTAAATATAACCAACAGCCCAAATGAGAACCCTGTGGTACTCCCAATGTAACTGATAATGTACGAGATTTATAGTTTTTTTTTTACATGACTATTTGATTACAACCTGCTAAGTAACTAAAGATCCAATTCAGTATCATTTGATTAATATTTAATAAACGGAATTTGTGTAAAAATAATTTGATATTTACACTATCAAAAGCTTTAGAAAAGTCGATGTAAACCATATCCACTTGATGTCCTTTGACCTAAACAGGTGTAACATCATTTGTTATCAATAGCAAATTTGTATGTGTAGATCTACCTGTAATAAAACCATGTTGTAGCTCAATTGCATTGGCCACAAATTGAGGTATCAAGTAATCGAGTACAATACTTTAAAAAACCTTTGCAGCCGCACTAAGAATGTGAATTGATTACTAGCATCATTATAATATTATTAATATAGGAATATTAATAATAATTAATACCAATAATTATTATTAATACAATTAATAGATACTTTTTATTCCCTTCTAAAATGTTTTTAATTATTTTTATTTAACTTAAAATTTTTGTTCTGGCAATTGTATTTCACCAATTTCCCCCCTATTTCTTATACAATAAATGCATTATGTGAGTGAGTATACTTCGCTCCCTTGTTTGTGTGAAAACAGCAAATACAGCATTTTTTTCCAAAGCATTAAAATAGTTGTTAATTTCTGTTTCTCATTAACACTTGTTAATCTGTTTCTTTATATGAGCTTTCTTCTTCTGTATCTATTTTGATTCATATTTCAACATTCCTATTATGAAAATTTGTTGCTTCTGTTGCAGAACCACAGTACCGAATACCTCCACAGGTGCAAGATCATCTCAACTGGAAGCTATCAGTCTTGAATGTTTAGTGTGCGGTGGGTTTGTGTTGTACATAGTAATGATAAAATTAATTATTTTTTTAATTTCCTTTCCTCTTGTATTGTACATTGTATATTGTTTCTCTGTTGCTTGTGATAGGCAATAATTATGCAAGTGTCATTATGCATAACATTCAAAATAAATTATTTTTTGCTTTTGTGGCACTGTCATAGGCAATTACTTTTGTTAATTGCAATATATTGTGGGTCAGAATGCTGATGTGTCTAGACCATACACCTTTCTTCCCCATTGTTTTCATTGATATTTTCATAAAAATTATTTTTCTTAAGAATGCATCTCTAGCCATTAATGATGATCTGAAAATCCTAGATTCACTGGCGGACTACCTTATGAGTGGTCGTACTTTGAACTGATCATTCATAAGGACGTTCGCCGGTGAGACTGGCATCTTTAGCTTCATGCTAATGCTTTAGCGTGCATCTTTAGCCGTTATGAAAGACTTGAAAAGCCTAGATTCACTGGCGGGCATTCTTATGAGTGGTCGTGCTTTGAACTGACCATTCGTAAGGATGTTCGCCGATGAAACTGGCAAGAACATCAATACACTACATCAATTTTCTGATAATGAAGAATGGTTTCTAACTCTTATTGCTATGCAGTTGGACGAGAACTGGTTGTGTGGTGCTGACTCAGACCAGCTCTGTGCAAGCGCTGGGTGCTGAATACAAAGCACATTGCAGCCCCAAGTGAACAGATGTGTATCGCAAGAATGAAAAGAGATCGTTCTGCAATAATGAAGGAAAGTGACAGGAAGGGGTTTCCTTTTAACATGTGGCATCGGTATTAAAAGTCATTATCGTTTTAACCACATTTAAGGTGGGGTTGTGGGGGAAACTTGAAAAAAATTGATTTTTGGTTTTTATTCTTATATTATTCTTCAAAGTTTTTAGTACATTCTCGTGAAGTTTTGCACCAATCAGGTTCTTGGACGACCTTTAAAATTTAAATTACATAAAGACATAAACTTTGCAGAGGTCTGAAATATAGATGATAGAGAAGAGAACTTATGTATTAGTTTCAGAATAATAGAATTGTAAATCCTTTTTGAAGCTATTAGTAAATATTGTTGTGTAAAGAATGATGTACATAAAATGGTACATTTACCAAATCGGTACAAATATTTAAAAAAAAAAACAATCTGATAATATCCAAATTTCATACATAGTTACAGTTCACAGAGAAAATAATTTCTGTGTAAGGATTGTATCTGTGTTTACCATCTACCTCAGTAAAATTAAATAATAATAAATTCAAAAATTCATATTATAAACAATATTATCACAAATATTTTTAATTAATAATAAACATTTTTGGAAATATAAACTCCTTGAGACAACAGAATTTCATTGATCTATATCAAATCCTTGCTGCTTAAAAAATTAGAATTTGTGTGTAAATTTCATGAGCAAAAACATGATTAAAAATAGAATTAATTATGATACAATAACTGAAATCTTATATGCAACTAATTGGAATGAAATAATAATTAAAATAATAATAATGCAATCAATAAAGGCATGCATTTTGGTATGTAAGTGTATATATGACTGGTTGGTTGTCAGGGAACTGTTGCAATATTTCTGAATTTGACTCTCTCTAATATCCATTAATAATTATAATTAAGAGAGAAGTAAAGGCAGATGCTGGAAAGAGCTCTTAGAACAGAAATAACGACCCATGGGGCATGGCGTATAAAATAGTAAATAAATTCAGGATGGTCTGGAAGATATCTGTTTTGAATGATTAACAATGAATGAGAAAAGTTATTAGGGACCTCTTTCCCACTAAAGATCCCTGGACGAGACAAAGACAGCGACTTCACGTTGACAAAGCGAACTACTTCACGATAGACCAAGTGAGGAGACAGGCGAAAAGCATGAAAATTGAAAAGGCCCCTGGTTTCGATGGAATTCCCTGTGAAATACTAAAAATAGTGGCACAGTAGTATCCGAAATGCCTTTTGTCAATCTATAACTGCTGCCTTGAGGAAGGAAAATTCTTCAACATGTGGAAGAGACAAAAGCTGATACTCTCCGAAAGGGCAACAAGCCAGTCATCATACAGACGTCATTATACAGACCTCTTCCTTGATACCATAGGCAAGCTGTTTGAGGGTTTAATACTTTTTAGGCCTGAGGGGCTTTTCTCACATGCATTATGGGTTTTGGAGAATGCTCGATGACTGATGCCATCCTGGAAGTATTCGATAAAGCAGACGCAGCCAGACGTGGAGTCGGCAAGAAGGGATTCTGCGCGCTCGTGGCAATTGACATTAGAAACGCCTTCAACTCCGCTAGGTGGAAGGACATTATAGAAGCATTAGTTAAGATGATTCCGGAATATCTCATAAGGATTATTGAAGACTGCCTCCATGAAAGGACGATAACTTATGTGGATAGTATAAGGGTAGAAGAGAATGTGACGTGCGGTGTTCAAGTTTCCAGACGGGCCATTTTTATGGAATGTCCTGTATGATGACATTCTAAGCATTGACCTGCCGAAAAATACGCTGCTCTTAGGCTATGCTGATGTTAAGCTAATAATAAGACACAGCGATGACATTAAATTCCTCGTATTAAGAGTGAACGAAGCGCTGTTTAGGGTTAAAAGATGGTTAGATAGACGACAGCTACAGATGGAATTGCAAAAACTCGAAGTTGTCTTAATCACCGACCGGAAGGCCTCTCACTACGCAGGCCTCCATTTGGGAGGGGAGAGAATCAACTGGAAGCGCCAGATAAGATATTTAGGAGTCGAAATAGACCATAGACTCAGCTTCGAGCCCCACATAAACGTGATGGCAGAAAAGACAGCAAGGACAGGAGCGATCATCGCAAGAATGCTACCGAAATTCGGTGGACCGAGAGAAGCCAAGAGAAAAATGATATCTGGCATAGTTCACTCACAGTTGTATGAAGTTGCTCCAGTTTGGACGGGTTCGCTGGAGAAACAGTCTATCAGATGGCAGTGCTGAAATTAATATTTTTCGAAATTTGGCACGTAAGGGGGAGTCGTTCTGTACTTTGCACAATTGTGGTTCCTATTGTTTCTCATCAATCTCAGAAACTATTCGTCTGATTGGAGTTTGCCTTGCACCAATCAATTTCTTTTAATGTGTTTTCTTTGTATACAGAATTAGAGATAGCAGTGCTGAAATTAATATTTTCGAAATTCGGCACGTAAGGGGGGGGGGGTCCTTTGGTTCTTTGCACAATTGAGGTACCTTTTGTTTTTCGTCTATTTTGGAAACTATTCGTCTGATTGGAGTTTGCTTTGCGCCAATCAATTTCTTTTAATGTGTTTTACTGATATACAGAATTAGAGATAGCAGTGCTGTAATTAATATTTTTCGAAATTCGGCACGTAAGGGGGGGTGTTTTGTACTTTGCACAATTGAGGTTCCTTTTGTATTTCGTTTATCTCGGAAACTATTCGTCTGATTGGAGTTTGCTATGCACCAAATTATTTCTTTTAATGTGTTTTTCTTGTATACAATATTTAAGATAGCAGTGCTGATATTACTATTTTTTGAAATTTGGCACGTAAGGGGGGATCGTTTTGTACTTTGCACAAATGAGGTTCCTTTTGTATTTCGTTTATCTCGGAAACTATTCGTCTGATTGGAGTTTGCTTTGCACCAATCAATTTCTTTTAATGTGTTTTACTTGTATACAGAATTAGAGAGAGCAGTGCTGACATTAATATTTTTCGAAATTTGGCACGTATCAGACACAAGAACGCCCAAGTACAAAGACAAATGGACATAAGGTGGCGTGTACCTACCGCACAGTGTTTACTTGTGCAGGTGCTGGTGTTGGCCAGTACACCACCAGTCGACTTTTTAGCTAGGGAAGGAAAGAGGACGTACCTCGCTTTGAAGGAACCACAACAAGCAGTCATCTTTCTCCCAAGCAAATTGAGAGTATTAAAGCTGAAGCAAGGAAGTTGTAGAATGGCAAGGAAGATATGATGGGGATGTGAAAGGCAGATGGACTCATCGGTTGATTACTAACATCGAGAGATGGGTTAGCCGAAGATTTGGGGAGGTGAGTTATTATTTGTCCCAGGCTCTTACGGAACATGGAGGATTTAATAAATACCTCTACGATTTCATAACCGAAGAGAGGTCGACATGTAGTCTGTTTCACGCAGATATGGTTGATGCAGAACACACAATATTCCAGTGCAACGCATGGGACGCGGAACAAGAGGTTTGTAATGTAAACCTCCAACAAGATATAAACTCAGATAGTATGGCCGACATGATGCTGAGTTTGCAAGAAAGATGGAAAACAATAGAGAACTTCATAGGTAGTATTATGAAGAAGAAATAGTTAAAGACTGAGGAAGTAGTGCATCTGGTACCAGCCAATCTCCTGCGTGAAGTAGTGGCTAACGATGGTTTCCGCGTGGGAGAGAATACTGTTTAAGAGAAGGAGGTTCGATTTTTAGTCGTTAACCCAGTAGGGAATTCGACATCACGAGCTTCACTGGTATTCATAAAGAATTTTTCTCCCCCACAATAATAATAATAATAATGCCTTGAATAAAGGCATGAATTCTGGTATGTAAGTGTAAATGTGACTGCAAAGGAAGAGGAAGGAAAGGTTGTGCATAGTCTGTGAGTTGTTTGTTAGGGAACTGTTGCAGTATTTCTGAATGTATCTCTGTAGATAAAGTCGAAAAACCACCAATATCAAACTCGAACTCTAGAACCTCCGGGCCAGAATTGCTGCACAGAATCATGTGTTTAGTGTGCTAAAATAATTTTGTTTAAGCCCCCATGACTTTCTGAAAATGTTCTCAAAAATATCCCATCAGTTTTTGCTTGAATAAAAGAATGTACTCTTACAGAAATGTTCTGATTTTCATTAAAATCTCAGAATTTTCAAAAATTTTGAATTTAAAAATGTTTTTAAGCCCCTGCACTAACTACATTATTGAAGCTAGATGTTTCTGAATGAAATATGTTCTT